AAAACTGGAAAGCAGTTTGGCAGAAATTAGATATAGACCAACATCTCACACTGTATATAGCGATAAGGTCAAAATCATTTAGACATAAAAGGTGATATAAACAAATTAAGGGAGCATGGAATATTTTTCTGTCAGATTTATGGATAAAGGAAGAATTTATGACCAAACAAGAGATAGAGAGATGTGATGTAAAATGGACAATTTTGATTACATCAAAATTAAAAAGGTTTTGCACAAATAAAACCAATGCAGCCAAGATTAGAAGGGAAGCAAGAAATTAGGGAAAAATATTTTTACAGCAACTTTCTCTGATAAAGGCCTCATTCCCCAACTGATAAATGGTTAAAGGATATGAACAGTTTTCAGATGAAGAGATCAAAACTATCTATAGTCATGAAAAAAATGCTCTAAATCATTATTTAATGAGAGAAATGCAAATTAAAACAACTCTGAAGTACCACCACCTTACACCTATCAGATTGGCTAATGTAACTGTCAAACTCAGCTGATGGAATCTGACCTTGTGCTCATTCCCAGACTCATGAACTGCCTGCCAGGGGTGGGGAACCTGCAGCCTTGAGGCCACATGTGGTCCTCTAGGTCTTCAAGTGTGGCCCTTTGACTGAATCCAAACTTCACAGAACAAATCCCTTTAACAAAAAGATTTGTTCTGTAAAATTTGGACTCAGTCAAAAGGCTACACTCAAGGACCTAGAAGGTCATGTGGTCCTCGAGGCCAGGTTCCCCACCCCGATCTGAGGCTCACCAGACATCATTCCCAGACTCCGACTATTTTGTAAAAGTCCCAAACTCTCCCCTTCAGAGATTTCCAAGTTTTCTCTACAGACTTGTTATGCAAAACAACTTACCTTGTGAAACTGTGAGATGCTCGTAACCTCTCCCACCTGCAGTTAGCCATTCCTTCTGCCCTAGTATGCTCTATAAGCCCTGTTCCCACCTCCTCTTCAGGTACCCCAGCCCTTGCTGTGTGGCACCCTAAGCCGCAACTTGCTTGTGCCATTAAAGACCTCAATCTGCTATACTGGCTGTTTTTTCTTGAATTCAAGTTGACAACAGAAAAGGAAAATGACAAACATTGGTGGGGATATGAAAAAACAGGCACATTAATGCCCTGTTGGTGGAGTTGTGAACTGGTTCAACCATTCTGGACAGCAATTTGGAAAAATGCCCAAAGGGCAAACTGCATACCCTTTGACCTAGCAATACCACTACTAGGTCTATACCTCAAGAGATCAAAGAAAAAGGAAAAGGACCCATACATATAAAAATATTTATAGCAGCTCTTTTTATGGTGGCAAATAATTGGAAATTGAGGGGATGCCCATCAATTGAGGAATGGCTGAACAATTGTGGTATATAAATGTGGTGGAATGCTACTGTGTTATAAGAAATGACGAGCAGGATGCTTTCAGGAAAACCTGGGAAGATTTACATGAACTGATGCAAAGTGAAGTGAGCAGAACCAGGAAGCACATCGTACCCAATAACAGCATTATTATATAATGATCAAATGTGAATGACTCAGCTACTCTGAGGCTACTGCTGAAGCACTTATGATGAAAAATGCTATCCATCTCCACAGAAAGAGTTGATGGAGTCTGAATATAGATTGAAGCCTACTTTTAAAACTTTATTGTTTTGGGGTTTTTTTTGGTCTGCATTTTCTTTTGCAACATTGCTAATGTGAAAATGTTTTGTATGACTGCATGTGTATTATCTATATCAAACTTCTTGCCTTCTGAAGGAAGGGGTGAGGAGGGATGGAAAGAATTTAGAACTCAAAATTTTAAAAAACAAATGTTAAAAATTTTTGATTACATGTAATGGAGAAAAAAATTAAATATAACAAAAAAAGAGTTTACATTCTACTATGGGGAAACCTGTACTCATATCAGTAAAAACAAGATAATTCAAAGAGGCATGTAGAGGGAAGGATATTTTGGGGGATAACCTACACAAAAGTATTGCTCTTAAGATAGAATGCTTCCTTTAAGCTAGTAAGCCAGTTTAGCTAGGATGTAATGTGTGTAAAAAAGAGTAATATGAAATAAGTCTGGAAAGACAGGTTGGAGCTGGACTGGTTTAAACCTGCAGAGGTTCAAAATGAGTTTAAATTTTATACTGGAGGTAACAGGGATCTACCGAGACTTTTCAAAATGGAGACTAAATAGAAGATTATTACAATAGCCCAGGCAATAGTTAATAAAAGCCTGAACCAGGGGACAAAGGGACAACTGTGATAGGATTTGTGTAGGTGGATATGCCTAGAATTGGCAAATGATTAGCCAAAATGGGAAAATGAAAAAGGCAAAATATTGACAATAGTTATTTCCATTTCCCATAAAAAGTTTAACTAATATGAAACAATCACCAAAACGAGGAGGGCAAAAGCACCCTAAAATGCCACAATCAGCAAGACTTGAAAACCAAGGGCAACACCAATTTAGAATGCAAGCTCAATTGTAAACATTATGGGTAAGAATAGCAGGAGATTATGGGCAGTGTCGTTTCTTGAGAGTCAATGGCAGTGGAAGCTAAAGTAAGTCCACAGAATGTTTGGTATGAAACCCGATTAAGGCACATTATCCCAAGGACATACACTGATGAAACTGATGGGAACTCAACAAAAAGAGAAAATGGAACAAGTTTTCTTTGTTTCTACAGGGATCTGATTTGGTAAATAGTCTTACTGAAAGGATGGTTTATGAGCATTTCAAAAGAAGTGATTACTAAGAGCCTGCATAATGAGCCCATCAAAAGTAAGTTGGTATCAGCCTGTTATTGTTCAGTTGGTCAGTCATATCTGACTTTTCATGACCCATGAACTATAACTGTCCAAGGGGTTTTCTAGGCAAACATACTGGAGTGGTTTGCTATTTCCTTCTTCAGCAGCTTAAGGCAAACAAGTTAAATGACTTGCCCAAGGTAGCCCAATTAGTAAGTGTCTGAAGCCAGATTCGAACTCAGGTCTTCCTGACTCCAGCCCCCATGCTCTATCCACTGAGCCATCTAACTGTCTCTATGTATCAGCCTCACTTCATTTCCCTTTTTGATGTGGTTAACGGGACTAGCAACTAATGGCAATGCCTTAAATATACATTTGACAAGTTTCTCATACTATTCTTGTGAATAAGATGAAGAGATCATAGAAATTTAGCAGTTCAGCTCCCTCACTTTACAGAGTAAACTGAAGCTCAGTGAACAACATGAAACCTATCGCTTAAGGTCATGCAGACAGTAAAGCAGCAAAAAGTAGATGGAATTCAACCATGGGTCTTCTGACTTGCAATCCACCCTTTCTACTATACTATGCTGTCTTAAACAGAGAAAATAACATCAGTGGGAAATGGCCTGGTTCTGTGACAGACATTCACTCAAGATCATAAATGGTGCGGGGACAAGGATGGAATTAGGGGTATGAATGGACATTCCAAGGGGCAAGGCAGGGGCAGTACTAGATTTGCATATCTAGTACAGGAAAGATGATAGTTCAGTTATGTAGATTCCAGACTGGAAGAATGACCAGAAAAAGAATGACCAAAAAGTAGTCACTAGTGACTTTAAGTCAGCCAGGAGAGAGGAGTCTAGTGCAGTGCCCTGCTGATCTGTCCTTAACTCTCTGTTCAACAGTGATTCATCAGTTACTTAGATGAAGTCAAAGATGGCATGTTTATCAAATCTACAAATGACTCAAAGCTGAGGAGGATTGTTAGCACATTGAGCAGCCATAGTTGGGATCAAAACAGATCTCTATATGCTAAAATCATGGGCTGAATCTACTAAATTGAAATTCAGTAGAGAGCAATGTAAAGTTCTATACTGGGTTCAAAAATCAATTGCACAAGCACAAAATGAATGAGGCATGGCTAGAAAACAGTCCTTGTAAAAACATCTGAGGGTTTTAGTGCACTATAAACTTAATTTCTATCTACAATGTGACATGACAGCTAATAAAATCAATATACAATACAAATATTAGGCTGCATTAACAGAGATAAAGTATTCAGAACAAGGAGTTTTATGAAACTTTGCCCTTTTTAGGTCAAAATTAGACTTGTTCAGTTCTGGGAATAAAATTTTAGAAACTGCATTGACAAACTGAAACATTTTAGAAGATGACCATAATGGTAAGAGGCCATACGAATGCCATATGGATATCAACTGAAGGCATTAAGAATATTTAGCCTAAAGAAGAGAAGCCTCACTCCAGACTACACCAGTCACTTCCTCCTGTAAACTCACTGCTTATGTAAGTCATTTCATAGTTAATCATATACTGTCTAGTGACATCTCTTGGGCGGAAAAAAAGAAAGTAGGATAACTGTCTCCAAGTATTAAAAAGGCTGTCACATAGAAGAGTCTTCTTCTGTTTATCCTCAGATGACAAAACTCAGAGAAATGGGTATGAGTTGCAGAAAAGGAGATCCAGAAGGAATGTAAAGAAAAACTTTCAAATTATTATAGTCTCTCCAAAAATACAATGGACCACCTCAGGAGGCAGTAGGTTTCCCATAAAAACAAGCCTCCAAACAGTGAATGTATAACTACTTGTTGGGAATGTTGTAATAAGGATTCCAGTTCATTTGGTCTAGATAACCACAGAAGTCCCACCATCTCCGAGATCCTGTGAATTCACATTAAGAACCAGCATACTAAGGGGCAGGTAGGTGGTGCAGTGGATAGAGCACCAGTCCTGAAGTCAGGAGTACCTGAGTTCAAATCCGGCCTCAGACCAAACATTTGACACTTACTAGCTGTGTGACTCTGGGCAAGTCACTTAACCCCAACTGCCTAAAAAACACGCAAAAAAAGAACCAGCATGCTACATAAGCATTGATTGAGAGCTCAGTCACTCATCACGGCTGCAAAATAGTACATTTTTCCCATCATAAATGTTTATAACAGGAGAGTAGTTATGATAAAAGCCTTTTCTAAAAGGCTCTTTTAAAATAAAAGAAAACAGAGAGAACATTTCATACCAAGTCTCCAGAAACTTGTCAGTGTCTGGCTTTGACTCCAAGGTCAGACGCCTCTCCAACTCAAAACTGTGGATAGACCGTAACTTTCGTACCAATGGGACATCTCTCTCTGGCTGGGTTGTCTCAGAGCGGACACGAATTGGTGAACCAAGGCTTGGAGCATTCAGTATACCATTTGCTGGACCATGACTATTCTCCTCTTCTGTAGCAGCCTATACAAAATATGCGAATATACAATTAGTTATAAGTACAATATGCGACAGACTCTTCTGAAACAAGTAAATCAAGATGAGCTGATATTAAGACTGATTTGTTTTCAGGAGATGCTTAGATTGCGCTGGCAGGTTGGTTTCACAATGTGCTTATTCACTAGCACACTGGTATCCTAAACTAATTGTCTGAATGGTATATTCAGTTCCAGTTTGACTATAATTTGACTTGGGAATAGGGAGAAAATAAAAAATGTATAAAATTATTTTAAATGAATAATAATCCCTTAAATATATCATCCAAAGAGTAACAACTTAGGATCTTCTCTATGTATACTTGGCTATCATCTTTTCTTTTTATATGCTCATTCAGTTTAGTGACCATTCTCGATGGCCAGGGTTGCTTGAACCTATCTGGAACACTATAATATACACTAGCATCTATTATGAATTTAAGCAGTTGGATATCACTATGATAATAAATGATGGACAAGGTCCGAGTCAACTGTCAATAACATTTAAGTTGAACAAACAGTGGAGAGGTTTAGGCCGAAGGTAGAAAATTACTGTCCCAAAGGATCAGTCAGTATATTCTATGGACTGAGCTGTCAGTTGGCAGATCTTACTGGTGACTCTCTGGAAATGAAAACAATCTAATCCTGGGACAATAATTCATATTTATATAGAATGTTAAGGTTTACAAAGCACTTTTCTCACAACAGCTCAGTGAAGTATTATCCTATTTTACAAATGAAAAAACTGAGAGCAAGAAGGAAAATGGCTTGGCCATAGTCATACAGCCAGTGAGTATCAGAGCTCAGGTCCTTTATCTTGAAGTCCAGTACTCTTTGCACCATGCCGTGCCAGAACTCTATCACTGATACAATGCACAGTCTGCCATGGCAGGGTCATATAATCCACAGCTCTGTCATGTTGGAAGAAGTCATGAAGAGCACAGATAATCTGCTATTGCCTCCCTTAACAGAGCGTAAAGGTCACATGTCCTCTGATTAGTCAGAATTCTTTGTTTAGTTCAGTGGGATGCCTGACAGGATGCTGTGCAAGACAGAGCTGGATAGTGAAGATTCTTTTTGGAATCTCTTCATAAGACATGGCATATCATCTATGCCAGGCCTGTACAACATACAGCCTACGGGTGGTATATTGTGCAGGCCTGTTTTATATCTTTTACATTTTTCATGGGCCACCTGAAATCCTTTGGCAGGCCATATGTTGTGCAGGCCTGATCTATGCTAATGTGGAAGAATCATCTAGAAGTTTCCTTTTGGCCATCAATTACAACCTCCTTTCAAACAAACTCTTTTAAGAGATCTCAAAATAGAGTAAACTGATATATGCTTCATCTCTTCTCCCTCAATGTTCTTCTTTGTCCTGTGACCTCTACTAGAGAAGCTAACCATCAACAGTTTGCATGACACAGCAAAAGAGTAAAGGAGGAGAAATATGGTAGTAATATGCCCCCTAGGTAATTAAGACTTGACTAATACTATAAACAGAAATCCACATAACAATTGCAATCATAATGCAAAAATGTTGTGTTCCTTCAGTCTCTAAAGTAGTTGAAAAGTGCCTTGAAAAGTAACACAACTGATGAAATGGGTAACATTCCTAACAAGATCTTAACAATTAATATGTGCTCTAGCTCAGCTGTACCTATCAGTTTCTAGTGCCAACACCACTGGAAATTATAAGCCTTAAGACTCATTTCTGATCACTAAAACAACCATCACAAAAATCCTAGGCTTTGAAATCAGTTTTTAAGGATTAAAAAAAGAAAAGCAAATTCCATGGTTTCTAACAGTTACTGAATGTGAACATGTTTAAAGGCAATTCACTCTTTAAATGTGTACCTGTGATAAATGAACTGCTGTCTTCACTCGACCAAATTTATATATTCGAACTTCACTAAGAAAAAGGGCAAGTGGGAATTGTTTAACACTAGATAACTGAGTCAGAAGTAGTAATATGAACTGTTCTTTAAGGTTTTATAGCAGGTAATATCAGCAATATACAGCTAAAATTCCAAATATGTTAGATAGCATGTTAGTATGGTATACTAACTAGTTAGTATAGACAATTAATATGGTCCATTTCCCCGTGGGCGGTAAATGTTTACTGCTATCCACAACTATTCCAATGGAATCAGCACGTGGTCTGGACCATGCCTCACTTAGGAGAGCTCAGTGGCCAGTATATAATCACATTTCCAGCAGTGTGGCAAAAGGAAAGGGATTGGGACTTAGCAAGACATTATGAAAGGTTTGCTTTTTTATCTAAGCCTTTTTGTTTGTAAAAAACATAATTTCACCTTCTTCACACAGCGAAGATAAAAAGTTAATGTTTGATGTTGGCAAATTGAAAAGCCTGGAAAAAACATGCTACAGAAGCGTAGATTATTAGTATTAAAATGCCCATGAACTGCCAGGTATTCTGAATGCTTCTAATTACTAAAGTTAATAAAGTCATACACTGCTAATTTAATACAATTAGATAAATTCAGTTAAGAGCACAGGAAGAGACATGCTTAAGAGGTACACACCTTACAGATCCCCAGTTTTATCTTGTTCCTGTTGATATCCATTTCTTCCCAGACATCCTTCTCCTGAGGACGAGGGTGTCCCACAGATACAGGAAGTTTTTCTGGTGATACACCAACAGGGATACCATTCTCCCCATCACTGAGCTGTTCATCTGGAAATACCTCATCTGTATTTTCTCGAAGTAAGTCTCCTGGAATAGGGGTGGCATTTGCAATTCTATATAGGACAAAAGAGACAAGACTTATAATCAGCACAGAGATAAAAATACTATGAGGCTATTCTGCTTTTGATTCCTACATTATGATAACAAAGTCCACACATACTAAGGCTATGAAAAACAAAAAAAGAAAGAGTCTTTAGAACACCAGGCTATGTCCATGTTGGGGCATGAAGATTCCAAAACTTGTTCAACTGCAATTTTTTCACATGGCAATAAATTCACAAATCTAAATAAAATATTCTACTGACTTGACTTAATATGACTCAACAGAAGTTAAATCAGAAATATTATCTATCATGTTATTCAAGAAAAGCCTTTATTAATTAAAATGGAATTCCTAATTATTGGTAATTTTCCCAAGGATTAGGAAAAGAGTATTATAAAGAGAATGAGTTCAACATAAGGGCGATCACATAATCAACTTACCATGTAAAACACTAAAATTGCCTGCACAAATATTTGGAGACACCTTTCTGCAAAATCATAGGAATTCAGATATTTGTAGGACATGACTTGCTGTATCCTGGAGGAAAACCCAGAACCCACTATTCTATATTCCGTTTCAATCATGATGTCCTGGAACTTGTTTAACTTCTTTGTGCTTATATATCTTTTAGATGGTTGGTCCTCTCTAATTAGACTATTAATTTGTCAAGGCAGTGGTCAAGTGTTCTGTTTTCTTTTTTGTCTTGTTTTGTTTTGTTTTGTTTTTTCCTTTTAGGCAATTGGGGTTAAGTGACTTGCCCAGGGTCACACAGCTAGTAAGTGTCGAGTGTTTGGTCTGAGGCCAGATTTCAACTCAGGTACTCTTGACTTCAGGGCCAGTGCTCTATCCACTGCGCCACCTAGCTGCCCCAAGTCTTCTTTGTATCTTTTCATAACACCTAGAATTCAATATACCAGGTGTTCTAAAAATATTGTTGCCTAGAAACAAGTACTTAGCAAAAAATTGTACCCTTTTCTTGGTAGTAATTTGAAATGTCTGGAAATAGACACAGATCCTTCAACAGAGCATGGGGATAATGGCCAAACAATGTGTAGTTATCACAAGAACGTCTGTTTTGTACAGGCATCCTATGATGCTCTGTGTGATTTCATTTAAGGATAACACATTTATAGAATCTTAAAGCTGGAAGGGACCCTAGAGACTGCCTAGTTCAGGGGTGGGGAACCTGTGGCCTCGAGACTGCCCATTTGGCCTTCTAGGTCCTCGGGTGCGGCCTTCTGACTGAGTCCAAGTTTCACAGAACAAATCCTTCTATTAAGGGGATTTGTTCTGTGAAGTTTAGATTCAATCACAGGGCCCAACTTGAGGGCTTAGAGGGCTACATGTGGCCTTGAGGCTGCAAGTTCCCCACCCCTGGCCTTAGTTCAACCTCCTGATTTTATTAATGATCAGAGGACCAGAGTAGTTGTGACTTGCTCAAGGTGAATGAGAGGACCGCTATTAGCAGCCAGGTTTCCTAAATCCCAAGTTCCATGTTCTTTCCATACTATTTCACTGTCTCTTTACATTTAGGACAGACTTCACAGAACAAGTTTGGATTCAGTCAAAGGGCTGCACTTGAGGATCTCAAGGGCCACATGTGGCCTCGAGGCTACAGTTTCCCCACCCCTGAGGAGGGCCTAACTACTTTCAGGAGAGTCTCCTGCCTAGATGGGCTAATCTCAGACCCTGAAGACTTTTTTCTCAATAGAAGTTTGGATTCTAAAAATACAGAGAGACTAATCTCAACTAAAGACCTTGCAGTCCTCAAAATCATTCCTCCTGGGGCTTTGACAGAGAATAAGCCTGTCAGTCAATCTTTCTAAGCCTTATAAAAGAGGTTTCAACAAACAAACACTTATTCAACACATATTTGGCTTCAAACAGACTGAGAGATTTATTCCAAAGACCACTGCCAGAAAGACCAATCCTTTGTTCTAGTTGCTGGCCAATGGATGAAGAGAACTAGGTGGGGTTTTTTTGGTTTTTGGGTTTTTTTTAGGCAATTGGGTTAAGTGATTTGCCCAGGGTCACACAGCTAGTAAGTGTCAAGTGTTTGGTCTGAGGCTGGATTTGAACTCAGGTCCTCCTGACTTCAGGGCTGGTGCTCCATCCATTGCACCACCTAGCTGCCCCTGAGATTTATTCCAAATAAATATTCTAAAGAATTAATTCCAAATATAGTTTGGAAATTATCTAAAAATCAGTTAGCTGCATATAAGCAAAATCTGTTTAATAACTACTGAGTTCAACATGTGTTCACCAACATTTCCTCCGGCCTTAGCTATATCTTCATTCATCTGCTCTTTATTTGCATCTCTGAAAACCTGAAAAGCCAAGCCCTGCCATTTTCAAGCCTCTGATTCCTCTGCGGCCACATAAAACAATGTTTCTTCGGCAAATATTCCCATTCTTGTGTGCTAGCATTTTCATTCCATTAAGTTCTGGCTCCCCTCACACTACCCTAACTTCTTTTTTTTTCAAGACATAAGAAATCTCTACCCCCTCATCCTTGCTTTTCCCCCAGCCACCATCCTCATTTCTTTCACATCTCTGAGATGATGATGTTCCATTGGAACTCCTCCCTTCATCTGGCCCCTCCAGAAGCCCATTCACCCTCACTGCCTACAGCCATCTCGCTTACAACAGAAGGTTCCCTCTCAATCCTTACTTTAACCCATTATAACATTTTAGCTTCATCTTTAACTCAAATCACAAAAATCACAATATAGCACCTCTGTTCACAGTCCTGTCTAAATCTCAATTCAAGGAATGAATGGAAATAAGCTTCTAGTTATGTCCAAGAAATAGGACACTAGAAGTAATGTGAAAAAGAATATACATCACAGGCGAGGACATGAACATGTGACCTGGGTTTTGCCTGTGCATATACGTGATGGGCTTATAACAGGGTGGGGAAGGAGGTGAAAATTGAGTTTGATTGTAAGGGCAATGGATTGAAGTCTGAAGTGAGAAGACATCAATTTGAATCATGCCTCTACTACTTATTACAAGTTACATAACCTCTCTAGGCTTGAACTGTCCTCATCTATAAGACTAAGGAATTGGACTCCAAGCCCTTTCCAGTTCTAATCCTACAATCTATGGCCTCCAGATTGCAGGAGTTTGATCTGGAGGTAACCTTAAAGATGACTTTGTCCAGCCACCCTCATGTTATATGTGAAAAAACCGAGGCACAGAGAGACTGATTAACTTGACCAATATCACACAAGTAGTAAGTAGCAGAGCCAGGATTAAGATTTCAAATTCAGTGCTATTCCCACTACAATTTACTGTGTAAAAGTTACTATGCTAAGTGCAAGGAACAAAATGTGAAAAACAATACATTCAGGCCAGCTAGGATAGTGGATAGAATACCAACCCTGGAATTAGGACTTGAGTTCAAATGTGACCTCAGACACTCACTAGTTAAGTGAGCCACTTAACCCTGACTGCCTCTAAAAAAAAAAAAAGGAAGAAAGACAAAAACCCAACACATTCCATTTTTTGTTCTCAAGGAGCTTATGATCTAATAAGAAGGCTATGATATATACATAAATAGGTGTGATATGAGGTAGAATGTGAAGAGAGAAAATCAGAGATTTAAATCAAGTGAAGTGAAGTAGAAAGACTGGTAATTATTATACTCTTCTTCTTTATTTTAATGTACCCTCTTCCACTTCTCTCCTTAATGTTTTCTCTCCCAAATTCTTATTCTTTTTCAATGTATGCATGTATGTATATTTCCTCAGGGAATGTCCAATGTTATGAGGACAGCCTGGTCCCACTGTCTTATTTTTCAACTTATTTTTGAATATCTTCTCAATATATTATTACTATCTGAATGTTGACAGAATTTTAAGGAGAACTTCTACTCCATCCCTTCATCAACTGAATTTCTGATAGCCTTAGACACCTCTATTTCTTCCCTCAATTTTCTTTTTCTTTCTTCTTCTTCTTTTTTTTTTTTTTAAATGAACCTCATCTCAATGCAAGGCAGAGCCAAGATGGTGAAGTACAGGCTGGGACTCAGCTGAACTCTCCCAACATTCCCTCCAAAAAAACTTTAAAATAATGCTTCAAATAAAATTTAGAGTTGCAGAGCCAACAAAAGGACAAAGGGAAAGATTTTCCAGCCTAAGACAACTTAGAAGGTCCACAAGACAGGTCTGTGACACCAGGGTGAGTGCAGGCCCAGAGGATGGCAGGAACACCAGTGGTGGGCCTTGGAGGTGGCCATGACATAAACAGCAGCCACAGCTTTGGGAGCTTTCAGTCCAATGATGGTAAGGGGGTCAGAAAACCGGTCAGAATAAGATTACAGAGGACCCTTTGCTGGCACTGGATGCAGTGGGCAATGATTGACAGCTGTATAGCCCATATATAGTACTGGCTTGAAGTTCTAGGACAGAGAGGAGCACTTGCGATCAGTCACAAGGGAGCAGAGGACATGGTCATAGTTCTAGGGCCAAGAGGAGCACTAGTACTTGTGGTTGCAGGGGAGTAAAGGCCCTCCTGGGTAAAGACCAGAGCAGTGACCATACCTCTTTCCAGATCATACCATCTTGGAAGCACTGAAAACTTGTAGACTCCCAGAATTAACTCTTAAAACAGCAGCATGAAAAAGCCTGAAGCTTAGGACAGTGCCTCCTTACCCCTAGGTGAGCAGAGCCCATCTTTAGCATAAAGTACAAAGTGAAGAAATAATTTGGGGAAAATGAGCAAACAACAACAAGAAAGGAATGTGACCATGAAAATTTTGACAAGGTCAGGGAAAACCAAGACATACACTTAGAAGAAAACTGCTACAGCAAAGCCTCAAAGAAAAATACTAATTGGACTCAAGACCAGCAAAAATTCCTAGAAGAGTTAAAGAAAGAGATAAGAGTACTAGAGGAAAAACTGGGGAAAGAAATGAGAGTGATACAAAAAAATTATGAAAAGACAATTAGCAGTTTGGGAAAAGAGGCACAAAAAATACTGAAGAAACTATCACCTTAAAAAACGGAATAGGCCAAATGGAAAAGGAAGTACAAAAATTCACTGAAGAAAATAATTCTTTAAAAATTAGAATTGGGCAAGTGGAAGATAATGACTCCATGAGACTTCAAGAGACAATAAAACAAAGTCAAAAGAATGAAAAAACAGAAGAAAATATAAAATATCTCACTGGAAAAACAACTGACCTAGAAAATAGATCAAGGAGAGATACATTAAGTATTATTGGATTTACCTGAAAGTCATGAGCAAGGAAAAGAGCCAAGACATCACCTTTCAAGAAATTATCAAAGAAAACGGCCCTGATATCCTAGAACCAGAAGGTAAAATAGAAACTGAAAGAATCCACCTGAAAGATCCCAAAATGAGAACTCCCAGGAATATTTCAGCTAAATCCCAGAGCTCCCAGGTCAAGGACAAATGACAAATACTGAAGAGGATGAGGGAAAACAGGTAACATTAATGAACCACTGGTGGAATTGTGAACTGGCCCAAACAGTCTAGAGAGTAATCTGGAACACTGCCCAAAGGGCTATAAAACTGTCTATACCCTGTGACCCAGCAATACCACTATTAGGTCTGTACCCCACAGAGAGCAAAGGAGAAGGAAAAAGACATATATGCACAACAATATTTATGGCAGCTCTTTTTGTGGTGTCAAAGAACTGGAAATTGAAGGGAAATGGCTGAACAAGGTGTGGATATGACTGGGATGGAGTACTATTGCGTTATAAGAAATGACGAGTGGTTTCAGAAAAAAAATGGCAAGATCTATATGAACTCACGCAAAGTGAAGTAAGAACCAGAAGATCACTGTGCACATTAACAGCAATGTTGTAATGATGATCAATTGTAAAAGACTTGGCTACTCTGATCAATTCAGTGATCCAAGACAATCCCAAAGGACTCATGATGAAAAAATGTTACCCACCTCCAGAGCAAGAACTGATGAACTCTGAGTACAAATTAAAATATAATTCTCTTGCTTTATTTTTATTTTTTTTGTGTGTGTGATGTGGCTAATATGGAAATGTTATGTATGATTTTACACATATGCTTGATATCATATTATTTGCCTTCTCAGTGCATGGGGGAGGAGTAGGAGGGAGGGAAGGAGAGAATCTGGAACTCAAAATTTAAAAAGAAAAGGATGTCAAAAATAAATAAATAATATTTTAAAATAAAATAATATGAACCTGACAAACATCAGCAAACATGAACACTTGCAAACAGAAAACAAGACCAGAAGAAGAGGTCCGTATGGGAAATCATGAGCCATGCCCACTTTTAGCACTAATCAGAAAGTAACAGGGACAAGAGCACTAGAATAAGGATCAGAAGGCCTGGGTTCTAACTTCATCTAGTGACTAACTACGACATCTTTGGACAAATTACTTAACCTCTATGGGCTTCAGTTCCTCATCTGTGAAATGGAAGGAACTGGACAAAGAGTTTCTATGTTCTGTTCCAGTTTTGTGATTCTACATGAATTCTCACTGATCTCAGTCATCTCTAAAGATTCCAAATCTCAAACTCACTTTAAAAAATGGGCATGAGGTGAAATGCAACTACTGAACTGATATGTATGCCACTGAGCAAAGTAAGGGGAGGGCTTCTACCTATATAGGGTGTTACACAAACTTTGAGAGTTTAAAATTGCAACAAGACTTTTAGGACACAGTGCATTTCCTTTCATGTGACTTTTAAAAATTATACAGTGACTAAAGAGGATTAAAAAAGGAAGAAGAGATAATGGTGATGACAAGAAAAATGGAAGAAGATTTCATGTGGCAGAGTTGTAGATGAGAAGAGGGAAAAACAGAAAGAAAAAGGCAGGGAAAGCATCACAGACCAAAGACCAACTTATCCTCACCCTTCAAAAAATAGGCAGATTATTCTTAAAGGTCCATGCGGTGTTTGTGATCCCAACCACCAGCATTAATATACAATTACTGCTTACTATACTCTCTAGAGACCTATATGTTCTCTAGAAGGTGTGAGCCCGCCACAGCAAAGGTTCTTTCGCATTCTGAAGAATGCTTGTCAGGAGACTGAGAATCCTCAAGTCATCTAATCCCTTAACTCCCACTTCACAGGGAAGTCTACGGTTACTTTATTAGAAAACTAGCACCAATCTAGGGAATGGACAAGAATGGTATTGAGTTCAGGAAACCCCACTGCCTTTCTCTTATTTCTTGGCATTAGGGTCCCTGAAGAAAGAGTCTGGATGAACTATCTAGGGCATTTCTGCTGCTGCTGAATGGTTTGGAGGTTGTTCAGGACATACCCAATTGCAGCTGGTGTTAGGCGAGTGTGTAACTGAGGGGTTGTGGAAGTAGTGGTGGTTGTTAGGGAGCCATCAGTTCCACTCTTCTCCCAGTCAAAAGGGTCACTCTCAATTACTCCAAAAGTCTTGATGCTGTTGTCAAACACGGATGTAAGAAGCTAAACCGACATACATAAAAAACAAGACAGAACAAAACACTGAGTAAGCCAACAGTAAATAAATTTGCTTCAATTCTTTAAGGGAGCAAGAAAGAGAAAAACAAGCTCATCATTTGGTTTTCCCCCAAGATTTAATTTAAATAAAATACTCTCATTGATCTTCTTAACAGTGAAAATACTTTTATTTCTTTAGATGAGGTTAACTCACAGATTTGGTCCACAAACAGGTCTCAAAGGCTTCAAGAGACCATTATCTCCTTTTTAAGACTTTTTAAAAGAATTTCTGATAGGACCCAATATTCTCAGGACTATGTTTATTTTTTCCTCATATTCACTTCATTTATTCTGTCAGTGTCCAGCCTAGAGGCAGTTTGATAGTCAACTTCTGTTATTCTTCTCTCTTATATGACATGAGCAATCAATTCTATTCTGATTCCTAAACCTACTTTTTATCTTTTATTCTCTCCCTCCAGCATCTTTTCCTCTGAGTACAGTGGGTGTTAGCAAGTGACACATCACCAAATCTAATGATAGAATAAGGTTCTATCATTATCTATAGAACACAGCCCTCCTTTTTCTATCACATTTGGTAATTTCTCTTTTCTTACTTTCTCCTAGTTTAAAAGTTTAACTTTTCTCCTTTCTCCATGAGCAACTGGTTGTCACCACATAGTATATTTTCTTCTCCAGCAAGATTTGTACCTTTCTATCTTTATTCTTTATTTCACTTTTCATACTTTGATCACTTCTCAGGTTAATGCCTATGACTTTCCGATTTTGTGGCTCTCTTTTAAAATTTCTTCCATAGGGGAAGTTAGGTGGCGCAGTGGATAGAGCACCAGCCCTGAAGTCAGGAGGACCTGAGTTCAAATGTGACCTCAGACACATAACAATTACTAGCTGTGTGACGCTGGGTAAGTCACTTAACCTCAATTGCCTCACCAAAAAAAAAATTCTTCAATGCTCTCATACATATGTATATATATATATACCCACATATATACATACATGTGTGTGTATACGTGTGTGTGTGTGTGTGTGTGTGTGTGTGTATATATATATATATATATATATATATATATATATATATATATATATACACATACACATACATACATACACACACACACACACACACACACATTTTTCCCCCCATTAGGATCAAACTTCCAGTTTCCAGGGCCTTACTTTGTCTCTATCTGTACCTTCTACAACAACTTCATATCTTTCTCTTCCCCTGGTGCTACTTTTCTACTACTGTAATCCATCCTAAACACAATAGTGATAATAACTTCTAAAAATTTACTCCTGTAATTCCCTGGCTCAATAAGATATAATAAAAACTTAGAGTCTCATATCAAAATAGCTCAGCCTAACATTCAAAGAATGGGACATCTCTTCTGCTCCAATCCCACTCTCCAATTTTGAAAAGAGTAGGTACGTTTGTTTAAATTCAGGTAAACATTCAGTAGTCTTGTGAACATGCTGGCTACAAACCTGCCCAAGTCTCTTCCTATCCTTTAAAACAAACAAATAAACAAAAAACCCTTTCACTTCACCTTGCCATCCCAAACTATAAAAATTCTCTCTTTCACAGCCAAAATTTTAGAAATAGTAGTCTACTTCCAGTTCCTCATTCTTGCTAATATCTGTCTCTTCCAGTCTGAATTCCAGCTCCCTCTTTTAAATGAAACCATACTCTCTAAAATTACTACTGATCTCTTCAGTATTAAATTTAATGACCTTTTGTCGAGTCTTGTTCTACTTGAATTTTCTGTAGTTTTTGATTTTGTTGACCCTCACCTCCTCCTTAATACTCTCTCCTTTTGTTTCCATGACACTATTCTCTCCTGGTTTTCCTCCAACTTATCTAACTGTTCCTTCTCAGTTTCTTTTACTGGATAATTATTCATGTCTTGTCTCATAATCATGAGCACCCTTTAAGCTCTATCCTGGGCCTTTTCCCCACTTCTCTATTCTCTTGGTGATCTCATCAGTTTCTCTGGGTTCAAGGTATTATTTCCATGCTCATGACTCCCAATCATGGTTAAGGGACAGGACATGGATAATTATCCAATAAAAGAAACCAAGAAGGAGACACATTGGAGGAAAACTAGGGAATGACAGTGTCATGGAAGCCAAAGGAGAAGAAAGTATTGAGGAGGAAGGAACTGTGATTTTCCCAACAAGCCATCCTCTTAGTCAACTTCTTCACACAGGATATTCCATCTCCTGACTGAGCATTCATGCCCTGTCCCCCATGCTTGGAATTCTCTCACTCCTCATCTCTGCCTCCTGCCTTTTTAAATCTTAGCTAAATTTTTAGCTTCTACAAGAAGCCTTTCTCAGTCCTTCTAAATATTAGTGCCTTCCCTCTAATATTATGTCCAATTTATCACTTATTTCTACATAGTTATTTACATATTGGCTTCCCCTATTAGACTGTGAGCACCATTACAGCAAGGGCTGTTTTTGCCTTTCTTTGCCTTTCTAGAACTTAGGACAACGCCTGGAACATGGGCACAGAAATTGAGAGGATGCCCATTAATTAGGGAATGCCTGAACAAGTTGTAGTATATGAATGTAAGGGAATACTATTGTGCTATAAGAAATGATGAGCAGGCAGACTTCAGAAAAACCTGGAAAGACTTGTATGGTCTGATGCTGAGTGAAGTGAGCAGAACCAGAAGAACGTTGTACACGGTAACAGCCACGCTGTGCAATGACTAATATGGATAGACTTAACCTTTCTCAACAACGCAAGGATCTAAGATATCTCCAAAGGCCTCATGATGGAAAATACTATCCATATCCAAAGAAAGAACTATGGAGTTTGAATGCAGATTGAAGCATACTGTTTGCTATTTTTTTCTTCTGTTGTGTTTTGTTTTCTCTTTCTGGTGGTTCTTCCTATTGGTTCTAATTCTTCCTTACAACATGACTAATGTGAAAATATGTTTAATAGGAATGTATACATATAGCCTCAGACTGCGTGCCATCTTGGGGAGGGAGGAGGAAAAAATTTAAAACTCAAAAGCTTATGGAAGTGATTGTTGATTAATCAAAATAAATTAATAAAGTAAAAAAAATGCTTAATGACTTAGGTTTCACATAAATCCTCTTTCTGTGCTTTTCTCTGTATATGTAAATGCTCATGCTTATTGGTGTTTGTCAAGTTCAGAATAATGAAAAAAAAATTTTCAAAATCAAAGAATCATAAATATTGTAGAGGAGTCTTTTGTTCAGATACAGTTTTGGAATAGATGAACTCTGAGGTCCTTTTCATCACTAAGGATTTATAATTCCATCTACTACAAAGTCTTTTAGTCTAATCCCTTGGGTGAGATGAGATGAATCTAATGTACAACATCCTTGAGCAGTGTCACATAGATTCCACTTAAATACCTTAAATAACAGTTATCTACAAAAAGTTGACCGAACCAATGTACCTATAAACCATATAATTGTTTAGATTCAGTCTATTCAATTCTTCAACATATTTTCCTCTTCAATAGCAATTATGCTTGGAATTAGAGAGCAGGGAGAATGGGAATGATTAGAGCTCTAGGCAAAGTGCCTCACATGTCTTTAGTATAAGGTAAAATCAATAGCTGTATCATATTCCCTTGTCTGGAATCCCACTTTATCCTTACAAGAAAAGTAAACACAAAGCAATGTCCTTGAAATAACAGGAACAATTTGTAATTTGAGATCCCAAGGTCTTGTAGGGGATTTAGGCTCTTGAATTTCTCAGATAATAATGAGAAAATCAATTAATCAATAAAGCATTTAAACAGGACAAAAGAGTAGCCATGCTATCTTGGTTGGTGCCTTTAAGAAGCAGATACTGAAAGGTAATTTTTCACCCACCTTCTAAACACCATTTTGCATAGTCTATCAGAGAGAAATATATTTCACTGTACTTATGTTCTGCATGCTAAGACATAGCAACAAGAAAGAAAAAAGAAAATCTCATATTGGAATTACAAGTCAAAGAAGGAACAGAACTCTAACTACTCTCACCATTCCTAAATGCCAAGAAAACTATGGAAGGCTAGTGCCTTAAGGAACCAAAGCAGGCCACTGGACTTGGCACTGGCGCCAATTAACACTATTCTTTCAGTTGTGTTCCAATTCATCTCTTTGACCAAATGGTCAGACTTTGGACCTTGTGAATCCTGTCAGAAGTTGCCTTGAGAAGTCTACTTTGATGCCCTGGAGACTGAGAGTCTCTCAGAAGGGTTCCATGAAGTCTTCTTGATCAGTTGGTGTCAAACTCAAATAGAAACAGATCCCAGCGGGCCCTACATTGACTTAGAAAGCCACAAGTTAACATTATCCATGTTTTGTTGTATTTTTATTGGTTCTGTTAAACATTTCCCAGTTACATTTTAATCTGGTTCTGGAGGCACTCAGGAGTTTTATGGGCTGTGACCGACACCTCTGCTCTAGACCAATTCTAGCCTGGATTAATCTACGGATCAACTCATGGCTGGGGACCCCATGGGATCACTTGGATTCAAATGTACGTTCCTAAGGTACCCTAAATAACTCTACTTTTTGATTGATGTCTACTTTTTAGAACAAATGTATGATGGATATCCCTTCCTAATCCCCAGGCTGCTTAGGGTCTAGCAACAGAAATCAGGGAACTTCATAGTGTTATAAGAAAGGTGAGAAAGTACAGGCTGTGTCTGGACCAAAGATAAGACTAGACTGGACCCAAATTGAGGGGGACTTTGAACACCAGCTTAAGAAGAGTGGATTTTATTCAGTAGTCAATAGATAAATCTGAATGTTTGTTGACAGGAAAGTGCTATAAGCAGAGCTAGGCTTAAGGAAAATGGATCTGGCAGCAGTGTTTAATGATTTGGGGCAGAGGAGAAAGTAGACACAAATATTAATTCAGAGGCATTATAGTAATCTAGGAAACAGGTAATGAGGATCTGAACTAGAGTGGAAGCAGGGGTAATGGAAAAGGGGAAGGAAGCAAAAGACAT